AAGTCATTTTATTTATGTTTGGGTCAAGGATAAGAGTCTCAGTGACTCTGCCAGATCCCTGTCCCTAACAAACAGCCTCAACACAAAAAAAAACAAAAAACAAAAAAAAACCACATGAAGCCCACCTCAGGAGACCTTTCTGAGACTACCTGGACACCTTCCAGGAACCAAGGAACATAAAGCCAGGTCACTCAGTGCCTGGGGTAGGCTCCCCAACCCCTGACAGCACTGCAGGCTGGCACTGAGGACACCACCATGTGAGTCTCTTATAGCCACCTGAGGGTCCAAAGGTTCCCTTCAACACCGCATGCCCAAGGGGACACTGCTCCTTCTGGTAGATCTGAAAGTGCAGCCCTTCATCACGCAGCTTGCTCTGCAGCCAGTCCAAGCTGAACTGAATGGCACAGTCAAGCAGATGCTCGAGATCCGAGGATGCCAAGAGAGATCCTTGTGTTAATGGATGGATCTTTGCCAGGTAGAGGATCTCATTTTTAATGATGTTCCCTGCAAAAAGGTCAGAAATCAGGAGACCATAAGGATATTTCTTATCAAGGTGATGCAGACCCACAGCTTCCAGTCACTGTGATTTCTGCTGAAAATATCACATCTTGCAATGCCATCTCCATATCAGAGGTGGCATACAACAACCAGACTTACAGCTAGGAACAAACCAGAGGACACATCCCTTCCCACCCCTCATCAAGCAGATCCTCCTTTCTTCCACAAGTACAAGCCGCCCACACTAACACATTTCACTCAGCTCACAGGGTGCACCCAAGCATCCAAAACCTTTCCTCCCTTTCTTGCCCTGCCACTAAACCCTGGAACTCACCCAGCCCTGAAAAATATCTCTGGTCCAAGAGGGTGTAGCAGACAGGACGGGGTGCACGGAGGGCATCCAGCGCCCGGCCACGGTGGAAGTCAGCAGAGAGGATGTCAGACGTGGGATCAGCCACCGGAGATGAGCACCATTGCATTCGGCAGTTGTAGAAAACAAGGAAGCCTCCGCTCTCAAAATGCAGAACCAGCCTGGGAGAAGCAGAGAAGTTAAAGCTCTACCATAAACATCCCTAAACCATCTGTTATGTTCCGGCTGAAGACATTTCCACAAAACAGAGCAGAAAGGCAGCAGCTTAGATTAAAAAAAACAACTCAAATATTAGAAAGGGTCTGCACATAACTTAAGTTTAGGGAAAAAAATAAGACTGAACACATCATTAGCCATCAGCCCCTGTAGAGCAAATGCCCATCAACTCCCATGAGAGCCCCAGGGAAACCTCTTGGAGTACCAGCACCCCAGGGCTCCGAGGACACCAGCTGTAATCTGGGCTTCAACAGCAGTGTTTTCACCACTGTCTCTAAGAGCATCACTCCAGCCAGTGGTTTCAGCTACCCCAGATGTTAATACAAGTTTTTTTAAATATGTGGTATAAGCTGGCATTTTGGGGGCATAATTCACTTTAGCATCCTAGAAGTTGTCTTTTAATGAAAGTCTTAACCTAACTGACACCGTGATCCCCAGGCTGGCAGGCAACATGAAGCCCACAAGTGCCACCCCTTAGTTCTCTGATGATGTGAAACAAAGATAAAACAGCAGAAAAATTAAAGAATTAGAGAGGCCGTGGCTGGCTGGAGGAGGCAGAAGGCAGCAGGGAGCAGAACACTTCTCACTAAGCGTAGGAGAAAAATATTAAGACATGTGTACAAGGCAAACCATACCCAACTGACATTCCTGACAGGCTTCCATCACACCTACAGCACAGGAATCCCTAAACAGCAACCTACTATGGGGTTCCTGGTTGAACACACCCCACACCTCCTTATTTAAGATCTACTTTTAAGATTCTGAGAGGAAGAAAACAGAAGGACAGGACTAAAAAGCATCCCCATGCAAATTTAGTCTGAAACAGAAGATTGCCTCTCCAAAATGAGCGAGCACCACCAAGTACCTGGGCGTGGGGTCCTTCCAGTCCCCCCTCTTGTTGGCTTGGCTTGCTCTTGAGAACTCGTTTGCCCGAATGCTGCCGAATAAGCCAAAGTGGACACGCAGCCAGCTGCCTGGACCCCCTGGGACATCAGGTCTGGAGCACAGGAGCTCCTGCAGCTCCTCTTCCTCAGGATGTGTCTGTGGAGCACACACCTGGGCAGGAGAACTTGTCCCGCTAGCAGCCTCTCCTTGCAGCACAGGGTTGTCTGTGTTTGGTCCTAAGGGACAGCCAGCTGCCACAAAGGCCAGGAATAAGTTCTTGCCATGAACCTGAGGAAAAGGAAGGTGGGATGGACTGAGGATCTACATCAGATCTGTTTCCATACAAGGGCTGTTATCTACAGCCTCTTCTAAGTAGGAGGCACATCACCCAACCCTTCACAGGACGCATTCGCATCTGAGCCAGACCTGTCAGAGCTCAGAGCATCCCTTCTTCATCTACATGAAGCATAAAGTACCCAGATACTAATCCCATGCGAATCTCAGAGGCTCCTGGCAGGCCGAAGGGTAGTGGCTTCCCTCTAGGGCCCGCCATGGAGGGATAAAGCCGCCTTCAGCACAGCTCACCTGGGCATCCTGGAGCCTCAAGGACTTCAGGTCATCCACGTTTATCTTCCTGGTGCTTCCCCCCACCTTGGCCACCACCTGCCCCACAAAACGGGAGGCCAGCAGCTGGAACTTCCTCACCGAGGGGCCCTCCGGCATCCCGGCCAGCTGGGGAGGGAATGGCAGGACCTCCTCACACCGAGTGCCCTAGAGCTGAGGGAAAATTTCCAGCTCAGAAACACAACTAACAGTCAGAGGCTGAGCTCATGTCCCCAGGAAGAGCTCACCACAACCCCCTCATCCCTATTTTCTTCCTCAATCCACTTTGGCAGCGTCCATGGATAGAGCCAGGTCCCTTCCAGGACCAGGGAGGTGAGGAGCCTCCAATTCATGGGGAATTTCACAATCTGGCTGCACAGGGCCCTGAGCAACCTGTTTTAACACCAGTTTTAAACCCACTTCAAGCAGGGATTCGATGTGTGGATTTCCAGAAGCCCTTTTCCACCACAGGTTTTCCAGGAAGGCCTTAAGACTGCTTGGAACAAAAGCACCCTGAACTCCAGCCACTGCTTCAGGCCCAGAACAGTCGCTGCCAGCACCAATTCCCCCTGCAGACCAACCCCAGAGACCAGAGGCTCTGCTTCAAACCCCACAGCACCCAAAGAAAGGCTCAGAGCCATCTGGCACCACTCCGAGATTGGTTTTTACATCAAGCACATTCATGGGCGCCCACCAGCAGAGGCATCTGGGCTGGGCCTGACACAGCTGCTCCCAAATGCTGATCCCACAGGGCCAGGCAAGGCAGCGTGGCCATAAAAGCCTTCATGTGCTGCAACGAGCACAAACCCTTTTGGGAAAAGCTCCAAGAGGAAAATGTGTCAGAGAACATTACCTGGGTCTGGTACCTTCCATTTAATGCCTTAACTGGTCCTACAAACTGGATAGCTTTTGTAGCAGTAAAAACCTGAGCTTTATCTCCATGTCTCCCAGGGCAGGAGGTAATTATTCGCAGGCTGGTTCCAGTTACACCCATTTAGCTGGGTGTTGTGCACTGTAGGCTAAAGCCAGTACCACCAGGTCAGGAGTCACCCAGGAGGTGACAGATCCCCAGGATCAGCTGCTGGCCCCAGACACCGCTCAGCCAAGCGGCCTGCCCACACCCCAGGCCCTTTTGATCCTCCTCCCAATTACATAGGCACAGGATTTGGGCAATGCAGCACAAGATGAGCCTCAGAGCAGCTCATGGCCAGAGCTGAGAGCTGCACATCACCTGCAGGGCTTCATGACTGTGATGCCACTGCCATGTTCTCCTACAAACGCTCCTCCACACGAGCAAGAAGCACAGGGAAGAACAACCCATGTCCCACCACAGCTTCATGGCCCTACTGGGGTTTCAAGGCATGTGGGTCTGACTCTTCATGTGCAAATATAGGGGCACAGCTCTGCTCAGCCCACTGCCTTCCATCACCCATGGGATTTTTCACTCTATAAAACCATTATCTCCCCAGTTTGCCCCAGATCTGTGCACCAAGAAGCCCAAGTCCCCTCTACAATGAGCCCCTACAGGATGGGGGTCTTGGCTTTTGCCTCCTACCAGCTCCATATTCCCTTCTCCCACCTCCCAAAATTGCATCCAATTCCCACTTTACACCACTCCAAAACAACCCTGAGCTCCCCCCTCACCTATTCTCCCAGGGGCAGCAGAAGCAATCACCCTGCTGCACCCACCTGGGGATGGGGCTCACCCAACACCTTCACACCCGCAGCACAGACCCCCAAATCAACCCAATGCACACCCCCTTGTCCCCAAACCCCACAACCAGTGGGCTTAGCAGTCTCCTCCCTTCTCCCCCTACCCCATTGCCTGTTTCTACTACCCCCAACCACCTCCCACAGCCCAAAACACCCTCACTACCTTTTTCCCTGCCTTTACAGCCCAACCTCTTCCTCTCACATGCTTTAATTAAGGAAATGAGTGCCTTCCCTTCTAAAAATATTAGCAGGGGGGCTCCCTAATTGGCTGGCATAGGAGAAAAGGGTGAGGTTTCAAGTGCTGGCCCCACCCAGCCCACCAGTTGCCCCAGGGACTGGTTGAACTGGGAGGGAGCCTAGACACTCCATGGCTGGAGGGGGACAGTGTGAGGGTGGTGAGTGGAGCCTTTGGTGGAAAAGTGATTTTGGCTTATGGGGGGCAGCTGGGAGCTCAGCTGGGAGCAGTCGGGCTGAATCAGCTGCACAACTGTTAGTAAAAAGAGCAAAAAAAGTCAATTATGAGGGTGCCTGGAGGAGGTTATCCTTCCTCTTCTGTGCTAGTGGAATCACCTGCAGGTTGGAAAACATATTAGGTGCTTTCTCCCCTGTGCATTAAAATAATCTTTGCTTCTTTAGGTGCACCAAATAGGAGAATATTTACCCCCAGGCCTCCCCAGGAAGCCCCCCCAGGATAGTCAGCATCAGGCAGCAGCCGTCTGGTTTTATTGCCATTGTTTTATTTCCATTAGTTCTAAAGGTGTAGAAGTTACGTGGATCGGTAGCCATACTACTTCTTAATATATATTTTTTTACATCTTTAAATAATTACAGCTTGTTCAGTTGGTTGGTTTCCCTCTCCCCCTTACAAACAAGTGTCTGTTTCTACGGGACCTTCCCAGCCGACCTGGGAAGCTTCAAACTTTATACATGGAAGAAAAAAAAAAAAAAAGGCAAAACAAGACACCCCCCCGGCATAGTCACAGCTTCAGAGTTACACTGAGAGTCATTGATCGGTTTGAAAGCTCTTCTGCAATATTCCTGAGCTCCTCCTGGTTGGGGAGGGTCCAATCATCCTGTACGACTGCAAAGTGGATCCCGGATCTCTTCTGATCGATTTACGCAACGAGATCTGACGTGATTCGAGATATTGCACGTTCACAACTCGGAAAGACGTTTAGAGGGGGTAAAAGATCTTTCTACCCCTCCTGCTCCCCATCTTGCTCTGGTGAGCACCAAACTCAATGAAGAGGGCTTGGCACAATCCCACCTTGTGCTGCAAACCCGTAGGCATCAAAATTTATGTGTGCCATTAACGATGAGCTGTAAGGGAACAACTTCCACAAACGGGTTTATATAAATGATTAAGCATTTTGCAGGACTGGGCCTTTCGTTCTTGAGGACAGGGATGGTTCTGGGTTCTGTTTGTGCAGGACCCAGCCTGGTGTCACAGAATGGTTGAGGTTGGAAGGGACCTCTGGGTCATCTGGTCCAAACCCCTGCTCGTGGCCCTCAGCAGGACCTCCAGCCACGCTGCAAGGGAACAAATAACAGCAATAATTGTCTTGTCGTATTGTCTCTGGTAATTGTATCTCGTTTCATGAGCAAAGCAGGCTCTGCATGCCTCCCCCATCACCTGAAGGAAAGCAGAGCTCGAATGTAACCCTGAATTTTGTAACTCGCCCCTCTGACTCGAACGAGCTGAATCTCCTGCTGGTTTCCTTCCTTCATCCCACGAGAATCCCTTCAAGGGTCACCTCTGGTGCTTGTCGTCCTGTGGTGACGATCCCAGGTGCATCTGAAACGTCAGCTGCTTGTGGTGTGAAGGGGCATCACCTTCTGAAAGCAGACATCTTGTTACCTGGCTCCATGTAAATGCTCCTCACTGTGTTTCAACATTCATTTTTTAAGGCTTTGTGGGAAGAAGAGAGGCAGTCAACCAAATTGTGCCGTGGTCACTTAGATAACCTAAAGGGACGTCAGCCGGAGGACCACCAGGCTCATGTCTTGCAGGGTTTTTCCACTTTGCTCTGCAAGCAGCCTCCTCTGTGGCACCAAGGAGTGTGGTTTAAGGGCAGGAAAGAATTTCAACCAGGGAATTTGGCTCCGAGGGCAGTAGGAGGAGCACAGCGACGGGGCAAAGCAGACAAAGCCCTCGGGAGCATCAGCATGGAGACAAATGCTGCGTGTGTTTGGTCTCCTCGGGCTGTGTAGGGTGGTTTTAGGTATCTCTGATGAGGCATCTCTGGGGTGCTTCGGTGTCACAGAGAAGAATTCACAGCGAGATCCCAAAAGACCTCAACTGCCAGGTGCGAAGGAGGACAGGACAAGGAGCAGGCTGGCTAAAGACCTGCGTGCCTGGGGAGACAGACCTTAATGTTTTCAGCCCAAATTCATATTGTTAGGTGCTATTTCTGGCCTCTTTGCCGGCTACTGGTCTCAGCAGAATCACAGAATGTCAGGGTAGAGTTTGATTCATGTTTCATTGAATGCCTGTAGTTAACGTACTAACGAGGTTGGACTCTTCATGAGCTCTGTGGGTCAGAGTGCAAACCCTGGGGGCATCTTGGAAGGAAAGGATGGGAAAAGTTCCCAGTTTGTGGGCTTCATTCCCGTGAGCCAGTGAGGGGCACTTCTTGTCAGTGGGAGGACCACACTTTGGGGATGCTCACAGAGGAGCCTCAAGGTGCAACCAGCATCCAGCCATCCCCGTGGCATCGCTGCGTCCTCCTCCAGGGAGTGCAAATGCTCTGTCCCCCCTCAAAAACCCCTACAAATCTGAGTGGAGGGGCCCAGCTCTCTACTCTGACTCCATTCCCAGTCTCTGTCATGACCAGTCCAGTTAAATCCTTCTCCTTAAAGAAGCTTTTCAGCCACCAGGAGGAAATTAAAAGTTCAGACAAATACGAGTCATGCTTTTGTTTCAGCCGTGTGGGTGGCTTTCCTCTTTGCCAAGCCCCGTATCTCGGTTGGAAACACTCCTTGAGGGAATGGTGAAGGGTGAAAGCCGGAGGATGGCACCTTACACCCTTCAGCACATTTTGGGGTAGCACTCGGTCATTCTGCAGTCAAGTCCAGGATGCAGGGAGGGAAGAGAAGAGCTTGGAAGGAGAGAGGAAGAGCGACGGAGTTTGGGAGTGGACAGAAACAAGAGTGGAGAATCTCATTGGATGCAGTCTCCCAAAAAAAAAGGCTCCTCTTGCAGGCAAGCGAGTCTGTGCAGATGCTTGGTGAAGAAGATGCCCCCTGCCTGCATCCATTAAAGGCTGAAGGGTTTTCTTGTTGTGGAAGGTCAAATCCTTAAGGGTTGGACACGGAAAATGGTCACGAGCCGGCTGCTAGGGGCAAAGCGGGAACTCACAGTACAACAACAGATAAATGACAATAGGATTTCATCAATGACATCAAAAACAACAGAGAAGGATGCAAAATAATTAAATTAACTGTCTGAAAAGTGACGGCACAGCAGAGTTAAAGAGCAACTTCCACTTGCTGTGCTCTGCAATAATCTCTAAGCCTGGCTTGTGGCTATCCATAAGGGAAAAGCCCAACACTTTCCTCCAGAACTTGATGACCAACGTGGGTCTCCTCTACCCACTCCCAGAAGATTTCTCCTTCCAAAATCCCCCTTTGATTTCAGACAGACATTCTCCAGGCTCTGCCGACGTTTTGGAAACACAGTCCCATGATTTTGTAATGATAAATAGGAAAGGAGTTACTATTAAATACGGACATTCATCGGGTTTCCAGACCATCTAGGAGAATGAAGGTAATGCTCTAGGCACGTGAGGTGAGGATGAGGAAGCAGGGGCTTTTTTTTTTTCATATCGAGTCCACTAAAAACACCACAGCATGTCTCCTGGAGTCTGTTCACCAAACTGTCCTGAATCTGGCTCCATTTGGTGGAAGATCACTGAATTTCGGTCATGAGAAGGTGATGGCATTTCCTCTGGCCGGGAAACAAATGGATGGTGACAAAAGAAAAAAAAAAGTCACTGTGCCACCATTGTCTAAGTCTCAAATGGCAAACGTTTTTAAATAAAACCCCAAACCTTTGTCCATCCTTGTGTTTCTGACTATTTCGTAGAAGGTGGTGACAATCTAACAAAGAGAGGCTTGTTGAAAGGGGGGGAAAGGCTTCAAATCCATTAGTTACTTTGAGATTTGAGTCTTGGTTTCTTTTGTAAGAGCTCTAATACACCTCAAAGAAGTCCTCTTTACCTCTTTGCTGGAACATCTCGAAAGGGGAGAGAAGGCAGGAGAGCAGGGGAGGTGGGAAACAACATTGACTTGATTATTACGTGGCATCTTCTTCGTCTCTCGAGCTGGTCAGCCTGAAGTCTCTGGGTGGAAGACCAGGTTATGCAGTAATGATGTCCCCATGGTTTTCGGCTAAGACCAGGCTGTTCCAGGAGTCCTGTTTGGAGCTGGTTTGCGGAGACTGGCTGATGGCTGACTGGTAAGCCTGCGGGGAAAGCTTCAGGGCTGAAATCGCAGGGTGAATTGAAGATCCGTGTCCAGACATGGCAGAGACTGAGAATGCCTACGGGAAAAGGAAAATCCCGTAAACAACAAACAAACAAAAAAACATTGAGGACCCTGTGATTCTCTGTATGTAGGGCTGGTGCCACATTAATAACACATATGAGGATTTGCTAGAGTTTGAAGCTTAGATGTGATGCTTTGGGCTTTCCTTTTTCTAGACCCTGCTCTTTACTATTTCTGCACATGGGACATAGCGTTCTCTTCTAAATGACAGAAAAACGATCATTTTACCCCCCAAGGCTTGAGATTTCATCGGCTTCGGGCACTCCTAGCTTACAAATGCCCTCCTGTGGACTGCAGGACACACAACAACAGCGCCGCAAAGCGTTGCAGGTGCAGGATCAGTCCAGCCCAACAATGCCATTATTTTTTTTTCCCCATTTTGTTTAAACTACTGCAGCTCCCCGTATGAACCCAAGGGGGAAGCAACTACCACACACCACTGTCTCTTAGCTGTGCTGTGCCATGGGAACCCTCAACCAAGGCACAGTTATTAAACCCCGCAAGGATCAGCTCCCAGCTGCGGGTGCTGCTCAGCAGGACGCACTCCTTGCTGAAGGAAGGGCTCGTCCCAAGACATCTAGCGGTGGATGTGGCACACAGCACCCGCTCACCCTGCAGCTCTCTGCCATCACGCTGGCTCGCTTTACCTTCACAGGGACTTAAATTTGGGCTACGTGAGTTTATTTTCATGCTGCATTTCTCATATCGTTCAACACACAGCCAGCAAGTGTAGATGAAGTAGAGTATTGCCAAGTTTTTCCTTGCTCAAGACAAATCAAATCAGAGTCATATACAGGGAAATTTTCTTGCCCATACAGCTGCCCAGCTAGAAGGAATCTCATTTTTTCATCAAGGCTGCTACCTCTTGTTGTCCATTCAGAACTGCTACATGTCATTAAAAAGCCACAGTGCTCTAAGCACGATGACAAAAACGTGTGTTTTTTACCCTGTCCCCAAGAATTGATCTCCAGCTGTGAAACCCTAGACCCCTGGCTTGAAAAGAGGAAACCTTTTACTATAGAGGAGGTTTTGAGGATACTCCCCTCACCATTTCTCCCATCCTAGTTCCCCACTCTGTCCCACCACCCTGCGTACCTGAGAAATGGGGCTGGGGTGCCCGTAGTGAGATGAGAGCTCTGGTTCTGTTTTTATGGGGCGCATTTCCTCGGTGGTCGTGGCACTGCTGCTGCTACTGGTGGAGCTGGTGGTCGGGGTAAGACTCTCACTGCTGGACTGGACCTGTAAGAAAGTGAGTGGTAAGCCAGGCTCTTCCCAAGGACCTAGAGCAGTGCAGATCTGTACCCACCCACCCAAAGTTTAAAAAAAATGGTTAAAAAAATAACTAGAAAAGGCTTTGTTACTGCTGAAAAGCATTCAGACATTCCCCATTTTTAAGATGCAGCCCATTTTGTGGTTGGGTGTTGGACTTGGGACATAAATCCAAATGGCCAGAAGCACAAGCACACATGCATAGATGCAATAAACTCCCTTGTTCAGCACTTACCTGCTGGCGTCTTTGTTTTGTTAAGGTTCTTCGGCTTACGCTTCCTTGTTTGAATGCCCTCTTTTCTCATCGCTAAAGGCCGTGGAACCTGTGGACCCAAATATAAAAGCACGTTGGTTTCTGTATCTCCATATGGTCATGTAGAACACGGTTCCAGCTCTACCTCATTGACCCCATGAAAAATTATCTGATTTAATAGCAAACAACAACAAAACAGAACCCAAAGTCACAGGTCAACACCGCTGTGTGAAGAGAGATGTCAAAGCTACAAGGTGGGACTAGATGGGTTTTTACAACATAGGTACTGAGAGATTGTTTTAAGGCCAGAAGGGAGCAGCAGCCCATCTGGTTTACTTTCTTGTTGAACTCAGAGCTGAAGCTGTCTTTCTGGACAATGCTTATTTTCTGGAAAACTACTGCATTGGGGGACCTCCCTTAGAACTGATTCCACTGAGCTGGTCATCCTCAGAGTCAGACATGCTGAAATTCCTAGCAACAATTTGTGGGGGCAGGTAAAGCTTCCCCTGATTCATTGCATCTTCCAGCTTTGATCTGTCCCTCCTGGATGCTCCTCCATCTGCTCTGAAGCACTGGAAATCCTTAAGAGCACGGGAGTGTGTTAAAAAACAGGAGTAGCAATGGGGAGAAAAATGGGGAAGAAGAATGGGGTTTTCTTCTGCGGACACGAGGGTGGTGAAAGTCTCTGTCTCTGCCACTGCATTGCCACTGACTGGTGGGAGAAGGACAGGAGATTGGCATCCTGAAGTCCTGCTTTGCCGTGGGCTCCAGCAGGGCTTATCTAGATCTATCAGACATGACATGAACGCATGAAGCCCCCACTAGCAGGAAGAGACTATCCAGGCTCCCGTGCAAGGGAAATCATCAGCAGGAAAACCACAACAAGGGAGCACAGAGTTGTACCCTGAAGCCCATCCCCGTCACGGTGCCATCACCACCCTCCCCATCAGAGCAACGAAGGCTTTACCCCGTGGAGCTTCATGTAGAGCCCGCAGGCGTTGCAGACGGGCTCTCCCTCGGCGTTCCTGCGCCAGAGCGTGGTCGTCGTCGTGTGGCAGTTGGCACAGGAGAGGCCGACGCGGCGGGAGGCCGACTGGGATTAAAAACAGAACAAGAAAAAGCATCAACCCTCCGCGGCTCCTACCGGCAGCATCTCAGGTCCCTACAGGTCTCGGGTTTCCCTCTTGCCTCTGTTGTGGCAAGAGGAGCTTAAAGGAGAGCTTGCAACAATGGCAGAGATTTCCCCTTCCAGGGCTCTCTGGCAAATCTTGGGCTCTGAAAATAAATATTGGATGTATTCATTTAGGTAGAGGAGCTGGTGTTGCTTTAACCACCCCCCCCTGTGCTATATCCCTAGACGTGTCCCTCTTTTCTTCATGGCAATTCTTTTCCAGAAGAAAAATCAGGGATTTGGCCATTTTTGCAAGATTTCTTGTACAGCGCTGGACCAAGTCTGGTTTCCAGCCTTCAATACCTGACCACATAGGGATAACACCAGGGATATGCCCAGGGAAATGCCCAGGGATAACACGGAGACCAGAAAACGGAACGGGGCCCAGTTACAGACTGGTAGAGGTGGTGGTGGAGCTCGGCTCCGTCCTTCACCACGAAGGGGTTTTCACAAGAGGGCGCTGGGTAGCTGCGGACATTGGCAGCGCTCAAACAAGTGACATTTTTTGGCATTTGCAAGGAATCGGCTGGGTTTGGGCTAGGTGGAGGGCAGGGCAGGTGGGGCCTGGAGGATGATGAGGAGCCCCGAGGGAAGGCTCGCTGGCTCCTTGCTGCATAGGGTTAGGACAGCACAGACTGCTGAGCCCTTCCCAAAAAACTCCTCACCCAAACAGGCTGGGACAAGCAGGTATCAACCCCGAGATATTCCACATTCCCCATGCATGCCCCATTCCGACCCCACAGCCTTTGGGACGCCCTGACCTGCCCCACAAGCTCTGCCTTGCCCAAGGGAACAGCAAGCAGGGTGTCCAGAAGAGGTGGCCGGCCACCATGAAGGGAAGGGGGTCAACCAGCAGTGACCCTGGGGATAATGATCCTGAGGGTAAGAGAAGTTGGAGGTGTGGTGGAGCTGGAAGGGGTTTCCACTGCTGCTAAAATGCCTACAGGAGTATGAAATAGGCTGGCTTTCCAGTTGCCCAACAATGTTCCCTGCAGCCCCTTCTACCACCTGGCCTGGATCAGGTCTCTGCATAGCTCCTCTGCCCAGTCCAAGGCCTTGCAGCTCACCAAACTCAAGGCAATCCTACTTATTTTGGAAATCCGGTCCCAAACCACCTGCACCAGGCAGATGGGGACCCGAGGAGCTGAAATACCCCCTCCATCTCCACCTGGCCGAGGCCTTTTCGCCTCGTCCTGGCAGGCAGCCTGGCCCCACGTGTGGTGCTGACTCACCAGCCTCCTCTGGGGTTTGAACAAGGGCCGGTTGATGCCGTTCATCTTGTGGTAGAGCCCGCAGGCGTTGCAGAGGTAGTGCCCCGTGCCGTCCCTCCTCCAGAGCGGGGTGGACATGGCCCCGCAGTTGACACACTCTCGCCCCTCGGAATAGTCATCAAAAAATTCTGCTGCCATGACGGGAGAGAAAGGCAAAGATTGGGTTAATTCAGTGGCTCCACGTTAAATTTCCACTTTACTTCTTGATATTTGAACCCAGCAATGACATTCAAAGAAATCACAATCAGATTTTATGGGGTGCAAAAAGCATCTCTTCCTCTCATGGGGAAGCCCCCAAGATTACAGGGAAGAGGAACCCCTTTCCCTGCCATACGGTGTTGGCTGAAGGACCTGTGTGGCAGCAGGGATGTGCCGGGACACAGATACAGGGAGACAGAAATAGAAACCTTCCCTTCTGCTCTGACGTTACCCAGTTTTCAAGATTGGACTTAGCCAGGGCAAACAGACCGGGGCAGGCAAGCGGCCGTGTTTGCAACCCAGGTGAATTCCCTGTGACCGGGGACAAAGAGAAGCCTGGACCCACGGAGCAGAACTGCCCAGAGAGCAGAGAGGAGCCCAGGCATCCCCTGCTGGAGCTCAAATATGTGTGGGCAGAGAAAATCCTGCCTGTGCATCCCACAGCCCCTTGGCAGATCCCAGCAACCCCTCTACAGAATCGCTGCAGAGAACAAAAAATCAGAAATATTCACATGCTGTCACCCTACTCTCTGCACAAGAAGCAGCTCCTGAACAGCAAGAATCCACAGGTATTTCCATGATAAACCCATTCCTGCCCCTGTATCCCCTCTGCACCCAAAGACAGCGACCGAGGCACGCACGTGTCCTGCTATGGACACCAGGAAGGGAAGACCAGATGATAAACTCCTTGTGGAGAAGAAGAAAAGGGCAAACAGGCTGGGATTAAACCATGCTGCTGAAAAAGCCTGATCCCCAACATAATGAGACACACACGAGGCTTTTGGAGGATGGCAAGAGCTTTGCACTGGGGCCTTCAGCCATTACATGCCAGCGTAGCATCAACTCTTCCACTACTACTGTCCAACTTGCTCTATTTTGTGCCTGCCCACCTGCTTGTTAGACAAATCTCACTTTCTGCTGGAGGACAAGAGTTCCCCAAACGGCAAACCAGCAAAATTTGACTTTTTGCAGATCTATGTCTTAATCCCGTGTGGATTCTCTGATATCTTGTAAGCGTTACGTTCAACCATCAGCCATCTCTCTTCTGCTGTTCTTCAGGCTCTTTTGGGGAAATCTGTGGGAAGCTACGTAACCATAACACAACCAAAGGATTAAAAAATGACTGAAGTGGGGCCAGTAAACAGATACTGAGAAGGATTCATGTAGTTATCCCTAGAAAACCAGGCTTAAAATGACAAGGGACTACACCGTGTGGCAATGGGGAAATGCTAGAAGAGAGGAAATGAGTGCACCTAAAGGGGCACTGGAGCCAGAAAAGAAGAAATCTGCTATCTTCTAATTAGCTTAGGGAACCCTCATTACATTTGTGTAGTTCTGGTGGTTTAGGGAAGATGGGAATCCCTCCAGGTGAATGTTGGACTCAGTGGTATTGTAACTATGCCTCACTTTCCCATTTAAAATCACCACCGAGCCACAGCCAAAACCCAGATCAAATAAACTTCCTTCAGAAAGAGGAGGAATTGGAAGAGCTAGTCAGGAAAGAACTCATTTCCTTGAAAAATCTCAAGAAAGGAAAACATTTTGCTATTTTTTCTTAGAAGTAGCTGAGGTTTCTGATTATAATTTTCCCTAAAACAAAAAAAAAATCTGTATTACGTATTTTCAGGGTAATTTTCATCTTACAACAAAATCTTTTCCTCTTTGAAAATAGTTCAGTACAAAGTCTTTGACACAATCCACGGGGAACTGAGCAGGGCAGGGGCAGTCCAAAGATAATAGTTAAAACACTTATTTGAATTGTTCTTGGGAGTTATTACAAAATGTTGCCTTTCCTGGAGAATTTTCCACCAGAAAACCAGAATCCGAAGGCTTTTAATCAAAGAAACAAAAGGAAAAAATTTCTAGCTGTCCCTCAGAAATGCTAAGAGTTGGACTAGCCCTTGAATAGGAAGGTCCCTCAAAATGGGAATGATAAGAAGAAATGTCAAGTATGGAAATACTTTTGTTTTTAAAGAAAACAGCCTGTGGAGTCCAAACCAGACAAGCTGTAAGTCTTTTGTTTTCTGATAATAATCAAATTTGCTACTGTAACCTAGCTCCGCGGTCCGTATTATTTTCACTGGTTTGTAATCTGCCATCCAAGATCAAAATACAAAGCAGTCTTCAGACCTGCTCCCTTTGCTCTCCCCAGTCTGCATTTGTTTGAGCTATATTCTCCACTATTTTTTCTTTCTTTCTTTTGGGTTTGCAGGGGATTTGGCCTGGAGCTTCTCTCCTGACTGGACTTTCACCAATTTACGTTTCTGGAAGACCTTTTCTGCTTCTGTAGTAACAGCATTTGTGCGATTTGCCCCTCTCAGCTGCAGACAAAGGTGGGCCTCGTGAACGTGACCAACTGGGAATCGCTGGAGCTGGAGGCCAGGAAGGAGCAGACTTTGCTCGCAGGGCGCACGGTGGCTCCACGCAATGGGTGGCTCTCCCTGACCGCGGCCCTCGCGGGGCGATATGGGATGGGTGCGTCCCCTGCGGACACCGCCCAGAGCTGAGTCAGAAGATGACATCTGTGGAGTGCAATCTCATTAAAAACATTCCCAGAGCCCCGCTGGGGCAGGGAGAGCTCCTTGACCTCACTAGATCTCACCTGGAGGAGAAATATTGCATCAAGGTATGCCTGATGATGGCAAATTCCTCTCGGCAGAGGTGCCGGCTAGAAGGGTGTGTCATGGAAACACATGAATGTCAGCTCAGGGAAGACAATTTAGGCTTAATGCATGCCTGGATGGAAGGGTGACTCGTTTTGGTGCCAGTGGAGAAATGGAAGGCAAGGGATTGGTTTTCTTTCAAAAAGAGGTGCTCTCATTTCACAGCATCGCTAGAAGCAGGGTTGAAGTTGTGGAGGGAATCCAACCAACCCAGCTGCTCTTGGAAACCTGGAGATCTATGAAATGTCAAGAAAATATCACTTTAACAGGAGCAACCTGTGCAGTTTGACGTGGGCAGATGCTCAAGACCCAGGTAACGCAATAGCTGCTCGTTTTGGAAGGTATGGGCCATGGCCTCTGCCTGTCTCCCTCCCTCCCTCCTCCAGGGGCACAATCAGGGGCAAGGCTGAGCTATATTGGGCATGGAGGTCACTGGGTTCCAAGTGCCCCCATTGCTTAATTTGCCCTTGTTATTAATAATGGGGCCCCGCAGACCAGAGGATCCCCAGGAGAAACAGAGAAGTGTTTTCTTGGCTGCCGTCTAGGGGCTGGGAGCTCTAAATCCCGGCGTTATGAGATCCCCTGACACTTATTCATTCCCTCTCCTCGCACTAGCAGCCGGCAGAGGAAACGTTTATTCAGGCAGCAAATTGCCCGAGCGGCTCCCGGCGGGACCCAAACAATGGGAATGGAAGGAAAGGCTCCCCCAGTCGCACTCAGGGCAACAATTTCCGTTTCGTGGCACAGGAGCCACCTCCTGATAATGGAGATTTATGGGGCCGGCCGGTGACCTCTACAACAGCCTTTCTCCTCAGAGGTCTTCCTGGAAAGGTCTGCTCCCTCTCCCAAAGCCAGGTATGGCCAGCAAGGCCGAGGAGAGGACAACACGTATGTGCCAGTTGGGCTGAGGAGAAAACAGGCCCAATGAACTGAACAACCTCCTTCACCACGTGTGCCTCAAGGTCTTGAGCTCCTCTCTGAAGGTTTGGCTCCCCTAAGTGCCTTTGCCCAGCCCTTATCTCAGATAATATCGGTCTCAGGGTAGTTCAGGCCTTGTTATGGGGTGGGTCCCTGTGCCTGGCGTTGACTAATGCCAATGGCTTTCTGCTGCATGCTTCATAAGACCGTGCCCCAAGCCCATGAAGGAGCTTCTCATGTGAGATTGGATCGTGAAATGGTGCTGAACGAGGCAGCCTGGCGAGGATTGGGGCCTGTCCCTGTCCCAGCCACCAGCTTGCCACATAAAAGGAGGTCCTTTTCCCTCACACCTACCCCTTACGAAGACTGCAAGGTCCCCAGGGCAGGAAATGTCACTTGAATGTTGCACAACAGTCTCCTAATCTTGGGTGAGGCCTTGAGCATGCTAATGTCAGGAATGCTCGCCACAATGGGACGCTTAGTCCCTGGGGAGCCCGGAGGGATTCTGAAGTGGAGCACTGGGGGCTGTTAGGGGAAAAGCATTCTTGGAGGTGGCCTTTCATGGCTCTTAGTCACTGGGAGTGGCCCCTTACATCCACCGCCAGGTCCACAGAGATCAACCAGGGAGGACAAAGCAGAGCCGGCCCACACCTACAGGCACTTCTTCCAGCATGGCTAGGGCATGACGGCATCTCCTGCCAGGGATATCAAGTCTTTGTACTTCTGCCTTCCCAGCCAGGAGAATCAGATCCCGGTGCACAACCAAATCAGCTGGGGAGCAGGCGGAGGATGCCCAGGGCTTGGGTCTGAAGGGAGACTTGAACTCCCCTCTGATCCTTCCAGCGTCTCTGCAAACCCCAGCTCTGCCAGCATGCCCATTCCTAGGCCTTTAGCAAGCTTAAATTTGGAAGCCTTGGAGAGATATCTTGAGCAGGTGAACCTTAGGGATCAGGACCCAACAGAATGATAGGAGTGAAAGCTCCTCTGATGGAGAGGTTTTGACTCCTCCAGTTCAAAGCCAGCAGCCAGTTTATAAGTTTCTGTTCCCAAACCAGCCTCCAGAAGGGGACAAAGAGCCCTCCTTGTGCTGGCTTGGGTGAGATCTGGTTGTCTCAACAACAAGGTTGTCTCCTTTCTTCTGCCCCCTCCTGCCCTCACCCCCTCTCTCTACTTGCTGGGGAGAAAGAGACTTCCATTAATATAGCACTGGAGTTTTGTTTACAGATGGAGGGATATTTAATATCAACATTTCCCCCTGCAGAAGTGTCTTCTCAACCCAGTGAAGCAACTCGACAAAGGAGAAGCTGTCCTTCAAACACAGCCAGGCACTTAGAGGCTCTAAACAGAGCCTG